CTGGTGGCACCTGGGATCAGCAGAAGATGCAACAGGAAGTCGAGGAACCAGACACAAGATCCAGCTCCAGCAGAAGGTGAAGGGCCAAAGAGAACTAGACTGCTTATCTCTCGGTCATACAAAAAAAGGCTGTGACACCAAGGAGGTGTCCTCAGGCTGTGATGCGAGTGACAGTAGTGCTCTGTCCCTACCCTTGCCCAGGAGCGTCTAGTTGACATAATCCCTCACCATCACACGAGGTCACTGGAATTTTCACATTTCATCATGGCCACCCTAAGTGAACAGGTTTCAGCAGCGCTTCCAGACTAAGACGAGGCTACAAAGAAGAACAGGCTGTTCACTTCAGATGAATTAGCCACTAGAAATCTTAGGAATATTATCAACCATTGTCAGTTACTGAAAACCTCATGAAGAGCAACAGAACATTATCAGAGATAAGTGCCGGGAGCGAAGTCCCTCAGGTCAGACAGCACTCAGTATGACGGAGGAAGAGCTGTCTTCTCAAACTAGAGTCCACCACAGTGATGTGGCAGGAGTCAAGCCTTCGTGAATAGAGCCTTTGGGCCCTTCATTTACTGATGGGACATGACCTAAAAGAAGAAGCAGTTGAAAATATCTATGAATAATCAGAAATTGGAATGTGCAAAGTATGAATCTAGGAAACTGACAGATCTCAAAATGAAATGGAACACATAAAGATCGGGTACTCCAGGCACTCGGGAGCTGAAATGGGCTGACATTGACCATTGTGGATCAGAAAATCGTATGGATTGCTATGCTGGGAATGACCGATTCAAGAGGAATGGTGTCCCATTCATCGTCAAAAAGGAATTTCAAAATCTGAAATCCCCACCCCGCGTTTGTCAGTTTGTGGTCCTGTGGTGGTCTGTATGTTGCTGTGATTCAATGGTAGGCTGCGTTCTCTAGAGAAGTCAAACCTACCTGTGATGCTTATATGAGTTATATATAGAAAGAAAGTGATATCAAGAAATGGCTTGCACAGTTGAGAAATAGATAAGTCCAGTTGGTTCAACCAAAGCTTCTCCTGACTCATGGAAGCTGGTGGGCAGGAAGCAGGACAATGCTGCTTAAAGTACAATGCTGACTGTAACAGGATAACAGCTATATGCATACAAGGAAAACCAGTCAATGTAACTATTATGCAAGTTTTTTAATAACCACTAAAGCTAGTGATTCAAGAATTGGAGAATTTTGCCCACATCTTTAGTCTGAAATTGATCAAACGTGTGTTCAAGATGCGTCGCTGACTATTGGTGATTGGAATGGGGAAATGGGAACCAAAGATGAAGGTGCCATACTTGGAAAATATGACCTTGGTGATAAACATGAAGCTAGAGATAGCATACTAGGATTTTCAAGACCAACGACTTCTTCATCACTAATGCTTTTCTTCCCAACATAAACGACAGCTATACACGTGGACTTCTCCAAACAGAAATCAAACTTACTGCTTCTGTGGGAAGAGAGGATGGAGAAGGTCAATATCGGTGGCCAAAATCAGGCTAAGAGCTGACTGTGGAACGGGGTATATGTAAGTTCAGGTTGAAGTTGAGTAAAATTAAAACAACTACAAAATGAGAGCCATTGTTTGACCTTCAGCATATCCCACCTGAATCTCAAGAACAGATTTGACCCATTGACCACTCGCAACAGAAGCCCTGCTGAGCCCTGGGATGACATCAAGAACATTACATATGAAGAAAGTAAAGGGGAGGCTTGTGGGTCCTTCCTGTCCAGTAGTTCTCTTGTGATGAGAGTCGCGGCCCCACCAACATAGGCAAGTGCCAACGTCTTCATACCACCAGGAAGCTCCTCAGTCACTGAAGAAAGCAGAAATGGCTAGGGAAACAGTACGAAAAAAGCCTGTTTGGTCACAGCTCTGAAAGCCAACCTCTTTGGAGCACTTCCTGTTCAAAAGGAATTGAGTTGGACAAAGTGGAGGTTGAAGCCAAACAGCCAAATCCTGCCATTAGAAAGTGTGTCCGGTGCAGCTGACTAAGAATGGCAAGGAAACCACAGCCTTCCAGCCCAACGATGGCTGCTTGAATTTTATTGAGGAGAACGATGAAGTTCTGGTGGCTAGATTTGCTGCCAGTGACATTCCTGGAGTCTGCTTTCCAGTTGTCAAAGTAGCCCGTGTGTCGCTTTGGGCCTTCTACAAAAGCAAGAAGGAAAGGCCAAGCTCATAAGTTGATGGTGAACATGTGGTGAAAATTTCTCTTTGCCAGAAAAAAATTAAGTAAGTAAAAGGTCATTAAAAAGACAGGAGAAAAAGAAAAGATCCAAACCTAGGTCAGAAAGGACTCTGAACTTGCTCTTAATCACAGCGTAGCTCAGACAAATGAAAGAAATGATGACGCCAACAAGCTGAACAGGACATCTCAAAGGACAGCTCAAGAAGACAAAGTGTAAAGTATTATAAGGAAATGTGGAAAAACCTAGAGTTGGAAAACCATAAAGGAAGTACATGGTCAACATGTCAAACGGATAGAACCAAATAAAAAATGGAAGCCTCGAGTTGCCATCTTGAATGACTCTATAGACAGAATATTGAATGATGCGTGAAGCATCAAAAGAAGACAGAATACAGAGTCACTGTACCAAAAAGAACTAGTCGACATTCAAGGAGTAGCCAGTGGTACCGAGGGAGGAAGGCCAAGCTGTACTGAAGGCAGCAGCCAAAAACACAGCTCCAGGAATTGATGGAATACCAACTGGAATGTTCCAACAAGCTGCTGAAGCACTCACTCATCTACACCAAGAAATGTGGAAGACAGCTACCTGGCTGACTGACTGGAAGAGATCCCTATTTGCATTATTCCAAAGAAAGATGACCCACCAGAAAGCTCAAACTAGAGAACAGAATCATTGATACCACATGCCAGTAAAACGTTACTGAGGATCATCCAACAATAGTTGCAGTAGTACATTGACAGGAAGCTGTGATAGATTCAGGTCTGATTCAGAAGAAGATGTAGAGAAAAGGATATCGTTGCTGATATCAGATGAATCTTGGCTGAAAGCAGGGAATACCAGAAAGGTGTTATTTATGTTTTATTGACTACACAAAGACATTCAGTAGTGTGGACCACAACAAGCTATGGATGGCTTTGAGAAGAATGGGAATTCCAGAACACTTCATTGTGTTCATGCAGAAACCTGTACATGGAGCAAGATGCAGTTGTGCAAATAGTACAAGGGAATACTGCATGGCTTATCATCAAGAAAGGAGTGTGTCAGGGTGGCATCCTCTCACCATACTTGTTCAATCCACACACTACGCAAATAATCAGAGAAGCGGGATTATATGAAGAAGAATTCGGTTTCAGGATTGCAGGGAGACTTGTTAACAACCTTCAATATACAGATGACCCAGCCTTGCATCCTGAAAGTGAGGAAGACTTTAAGCACTTGCTAATGAAGTTCAAGGTTTATAGCCTTTGATATGGATCACAACTCAATGTACAGAAAACCAAAATCCTCACAAATGGACCAATAGGTACCATCCTGATAAGTGGAGAAAAGTCTGACATTGTCAGGGATTTCATCTTATCCACAATCAGCGCTCGTGGAAGCAGCGGTGAAGAGGTCAGCGGATGCATTGCATTCGATGGATCTGCTGCACAAGACTTCGTTAAAGCTTAGGAAAGCAAGGATGACATGTTGAAGAGTAAAGCACGCCTGACCCAAGCCAAGGTATTTTTAATCACATCACATGCATGTGAAATTTGGACATTGAATAAAGAAGGCCCAAGAAAAATCAATTCACTTGAATTGTGGTGCAAGCAAAGAATATTGAAAGTCCCACAGACTGCCATAATCACAACCAGATCTGCCTGGAAGAAAGACACCCAGAATGCTTCTTGGACACAAGAATGGTGAGACTTTTCCTCCCCTACTTCGGACATGTCCTGGGGAGAGGCCAGTCCCTGGAGAATGACATCAGGCTTGGTACAGTAGAAGGACAGCAAAAAGAGGCAGCTCTTTAACAAGATGGATCGACACAGTCACAGCAACAACGAGCTCAAACATAAGAACAGCTGTGAGAATGGAGCAGAACCAGGAGTGCTGTGTTCTGTTGTGCATCGGGTCTCTATGAGTCGGAACTGAAACAGCGCCTAAGAGCAACTGACACCCAGAAATCCAAACCCAACCCGGTGCCCTTGTGCCTATATTCTGACGCATAGAGACTCATAACCACTTAGATAGGGCTGAGGACAACTGGCCCAAATGGTTTCCACGACTGCACATCTTTACGGAAGCGGACAATCCCATCTTTGTCCTGGAACTGGCTGGGGGGTTCAAACCAAGTGATGGGTACTGGTCAACTTCTTGGATCACTGCACCACCAGGGGTTCTTCTAATACTCATAACAGCCAAACCAAACCCACTCCATCGAGGCATTTCTGACTCATAATGATCCCGCAGCTCAGAGAAAAACTGTGCCCTGGGTCGCCAGGACTGCAGATCATGAAGGGAACAGACAGCCTTGCGTTCCTTCAGGGAGCAACTGGGGGTGCGGTTGAGCTGCCAACCTTAAGCAGCTGAGTGCTTAACCCCCTGTGCAACTAGGTCTCCTTTAGTATCTCCGTGTGGTTGCCATTCCATTTTATTAATTGAGCAGCCAAAGAGTGGATGGATTCGAGCTCTTTCTGTCAGATTTAATCATATTTTGATCCTTTTCCCGAAGCGGTTGTTCCCCCTGCACTTCTGTCATAATTCCTTCCACCACACAGAAGCAAGTCTGATCCATTCCCCTTTTTCTTTTGTACAAATGAGTTCCCCAGCTAGTTTATTATACAAAGCAGGCTTGTCTTCTCATCCAAAAAATCGTATGTACATATGCAATCTCTATTTTTCTGCCCATTTTCAATGTACAATTGAAATTCCATATTAATTACCACCTTTTAAATTCTGTCATTGACATCATTTGCATTCACTTAAAGATGTAAATAGTAATGGGATCTGAATGTACTTATTAGAACTTGCAATTTCTGTAACCAGACAGGTGTCCAATAAACGAGTGACACAACGCGGAAGTTCTTAATTAACAGTGGAATCATAGCAATCCACAAGTTAACTAGAGTGTTTATTTATTGTTTTATTTTCATTTATAGACTTGAATCATGTTACTCGCCTTGTATTAAAGAACCGGAAAGAAAAAGGAAAGAACTCTTTTCAGTGGCTCCAGATCAGCCAAATCATGAGAAGGAATTGAACAAGGTATGGAAGTCAGTGAGCGCCGTTCGTCCAGGTAGATGGCGAGTCTGAATACATATTCTTAAAAGGAAATTCCAAACCGAACCCGCTGCCAGCCAGCCAGTCCATTCCAATGAATGCCTAGGGTCGCCGAGACTGTCAATCTTCCAGGGGGCAGGCAGCCTCATCGTTCTCCCTCAGAATGGCTGGTGGGTTTGAACGGGTGACCTTGCAATTAGTTGCCTGGCACTAAACCCACAGCCCCACCAAGACTCTTTTAAAATATTTCCTCTCATCCTCTTTTATTTCTTTTCATAGTTTTTCCTAAGATAATAACTCAGCAAGCTCTTCATTCGAATGTTCTTCTGTGCGATACTATGAAAAACACAAACCGGGTTAGGCTGTTAACCACATGGTCAGTGGTTCAAACCCACCAGCTCTGCCGTTCCTCCCTAAAGACGTTGCAGACTTGGAAACCCTATTTAGGGTCACTGTGAGTCAAAGTGAACTTGATGGCAATGAGTATCATGTTTGTTTGTTTGTTTGTTTAAGTCATCAAGGGGTCTGCTCAGATTTGGAAGGCCCACAGCCCCGTGAGAAGTGGTTTCTAGCAAGGTGGTTGACAGCATAGGCATATTTGGTACTTAAGCTTGGGGAAGTTGCTATGCAAACAGCTTCAGATCCTCATTTTCAATACCTCCGATGGTTATGATGCGGAGTAAATGGGCTATGAATAGCTCTTTACCTACCTGCCAGAGCAGTTCACAGGCTGCAACGAATCCTAACGTGTGCACTGAATCATCTTGTGAGTTGGTCACTAATACGATGCCCTTTTACATGTAAGAAAAGTAAGGCATAGAGAAGTTCAGTAACTCTCCCTGCATCGCAGAGGGAAGTGTTAGAGGTGAGCCTGGAACCCAGGCAGTCTAGCACTAGAATTCACACACCAAGCCAAACTCACTGCCACCGAGTCCACTCACTGCCACCAACTCACAGCAACCCCGTAGGACAGAGGAGAACTGCACTCTCGTTCTGTGGAGACTAAATATTTACTGGGGCAGACAGCCTCACCTTTCTCCCTCAGAGTGGCTGCTGGGTTTGAGCTGCTGACCTTTGGGCACAACACCTAACCCACAGTGCCACCAGGGCTCCCAGAATCCCTACTCATTCTCTAAACTAAGATCCTTAATGCTGAGGCATAGAAAGTGCTCCGTACTGCACCTTGCTCAGAGAAAGAAGCATCTAGCCAGCGCTGGCTGCCATTGTTGATCATACCCATGTTTCTTCTTTGAGCACCTGGTGTGTTGAGCACTGTGCTTTGGAAGATGAGGAGGAAGACATGGGCAATGTTCCTGAAGAGCCTGTGGGTCTCTCTTCATATATATCTATTCTCTTTTCTCCCCGTAAAACCCAGCAATGACTCCCCCACCCACCCCATGAATTTATCATGGATTGTATCTACCTTTCTTACCTTCGGATTAAAGGATCAGAATATTCAATGCCGCATAATCAGAACACATGTCACAAGTTTTCAAACAAAACAAAAACTGGGCATGCTTTGACTTGTGATCTGGTGTGGTGCCCAGCCCCGTCCCTGGCCCGAGGAAGTGAAAGCATGAAGGCTAGGTTCTCTCAGAATTGTGTTGGATCAGGCATTGAGCTGTTGTAGAAATCCAGCAAACATCGATACTGAAGATGTAGTAGGACTGGAGCTATTCTGGTCATTGCTGTAGGAGAGACAGTGATCCGATCTCCCAAAGAAGAACTGCCAAGGACCTATCGCTGGTTGTGTGTGGAAAAGATGGGCCGAGGCAATGATTATATCCTTCACCTTTGAACACTTGATATCGTATACCAGGAAACTGATGTCACTGATATTTAAAAATATAACTTTAAAATATGGTTCTTTCCTGCCATCCCAAGGGAATGCATTATGACAAAAGATGAAATAAAGCGACCTGAGTCCCATAGAACTAGATGGGGTAATAAGACTCCGAGAACATACAGAGTCTACTGTTTTGCATAGTTTCACTATGGAAGGGGGGACTCTGAGGCAGAAATCTCCTTGTAGGTTCTTGGAGACCACTAGATTGTGCAAGGCTGTACAGAAAAATGAATTGTATATAAACAGCTATAGCTTCCAAGAAGTGTTTGTGGGAACGTATTTTCATGCTATCGTAATAAAAGCAATAAGAGTCATGGATTATGAATCACGCAAGTGATTTGACTTCTGTTCTCTTTTTTCCAGTATAAAGCTATTTTCAGTAATTCATTTTGTAATAAAATAGGCATTTTTAATAAAGCCAAAAGTCGTTTGGAGCGCAGATAAATTAATCTCATTTAGAAGTTTTGCAGTAAAGCATGCTGCTTTAATAGTGAGATGTTGTAAAAATAACAAAGTTTACTCCTCTTTCATAAAAGGATAGATTTGGTTTTTTATACTTTGAAAAGTTCCATTTGAAGAGGAACCTGTTAAGCGATATCACTGTCAGTGACCTGCTGGAAGTTAAGTGTAGACAGGGTGCTTGGATCTCATGATGGCTTTCCTTCAGTTGGGACACGCGTTTTTCTCATATGGATGGATTCTTTTTCTTCCTCTTTCCTCCTTCCTTCCTTCCTCCTTCTTCCCTTCCTTCCTTCCTCCTCCTTCCTCCCTTCCTTTAGTTTTGATGCAACTATACACAGCAGAATCTACACTATTCAGTAATTTATTTATGTACAATTAATAATGTTAGTAATACTCTTCATGTATCTCGAACATATTCATAGCACATAATCCTGTAAATCCAGTAGTCTGGGAGAAACTCTAATAAGCAAATAACCCTTGAGCATCACCAAATACATAATAAGGGAAGAAAGCACTGGAGACAGATGGATAGATTATAAAACCAAAACCCTAACTCACTGCCACCATGTCAATTGCTGCTTGTAGCGGCCCTATAGGACAGAGTAGAGCTGTCCCTGTGGGTTTCCAAAGCTGTCAATCTTTATGGAGAAAGTCTTCTTTGCTTATAGGAGAGTTAAAATACTGTCCTAAAGGTTGGAATATTTGGCTCCAGGAGGCTCCTTGTCTCCTCCTTTGCTCTCAGCGCCGGTCACTTTCCTGCTCTGTCTTTATTATTTCATCTGTGAAATGCTGGGGTTTGACCAGGTGATTCCTAAGGTAAGGTGACCAGATTTAAAGCAGGACACCATTGACCAGGGGGGTGGAGGGACGGTTCTTGATTAAAAATGTGGTCTATATGGACCAAATAGACCATTCCCTAGC